ACAACTTTTCTTTCATGGTCTGTAGATATCACATTTTGATCAAAGACTTAATTTGATTATTTACATGCAAGAACAGAGTCTTTCTTATAATATACCTTCAAAAACATATGAAAAATTCTTGGGACAAAAATGCATTAAGATTAGAAGTTTGTAACACAAACCCCAATAGAGATATTTTAAAAATATAGATTGCATCAACTTACTTCCATAGAATGTCACTATATATATAGATTCTAGCCATATGGTGTCTAGAATATTAAAAAAAAGAACTTTTCCAGAATTCACATTATTTCTCAGTTTTATTTTAAAAAAATTCTTTATAGTGCTTGGAAGGGTAAAATGAGACATCACTGTATAAAAAGTAATGAATAATGACTTCATCAAATGATATTGCTGTTTTAATTCTTACGGAAGCCACACATTGAGAGATTGAGACAGACAGATGTGGAAAAAAGAAACTGGAAATACACTGCAAATATTATTAACAGTTATCTACAAGTTACTAGCATTGAACTTACATGCATGGAGCTGCAATGTAAACTGACTAAGCAGAGCAAATAAAGTTGGAGTTTCTTTTCCACAGAAAAGAAAGAATTCTGAATTTCTATGCTTACTTGTCCAAAATAGATATAAGTGTTATACCTCATTGGAATAAATTCATATAAAAACTTCTTTTGGAATGCAAAACGCTATTTTTAAATAAAACAGAATGGACAAATAACTCAATGTGCTGAAAATTATTATTATTAATAATAATAATAAACAAGCAAACATAATTTATTTGGCTTGTTACTGAATTAACTTTATTCAGTGCCACTAGGGAAAAAAGCCATCTTCTAATAATTAGGAGACTTCGAATGAAAAAATATTCTTATAAATGTATCAAATATTAGGACTAATGGAATTATTTTAAAACAAACTGAGGATTTTGTTCAACTGTGAAGTCTTCCAAAATTGAAGCAGACAATGCTAACAGTTAATAACTTATTGTACCTTTGTGTACTTATAATAATTAAATAAATTCTCCTAGATTTAAAAAAACAAAGCTTTTAGCAGTTTATCAAATTGGTAGTTACTCTAATTTCTTCCCAAACTGAAAATAACAGGGTTAAAAATCCATAGGTATTTACTTACAGAAATTCTGTGGCTCCATCACTCACAACAGCCAATTTTTCTTTGGTACCACAGCAGAGGAATGACTTAATGCTTTTCTGCAGAAGACAGAGTAATCTTGAACAGCAGATAGCCTCTAACGAGATCCGTTTTTAGCCAGCCATGTGAAAACAGAGCCTCTTTACACACCTTTGGTGTATAGTTGAAGTCAAAAAGAATGAGCATGTAGCTCTGCTTATGTTTAGAGTGCTGAAGACTAGTTGTTCTCCAATTGGCAAGCACCTAGCAAAAAGCAGCCAATCACTGAGTCTGCCTTTTCTCAGTGAAATTCTTGCCCATTTATTTAGCATCCTTAGCTGCCATATTTCCTAGGAGGATAGCCTTGATCCCAAGATCTTCCGGAGCGGGTGGGGTGATTACACAGCCTCTTTTTTCCGCATACCCTCACCCTACATTAGCCATTCTTCTATATTTTTAGGGCTGAGAAATTGTCATGGGAGAGTTCAGATGCATTCCCAGCTTCCACTTATACAGAGAAGAGGAGGGAGAGCGCCTGAGCTCAACCATTACTGATTCTATCACCATGGAAACTGACTGGATGCAGGGAGCTGGATTTGTGTAGAACATCTGCTGCCAGGCTCATAAGCAAATGCAATCTCATCTCCCCCTTCCAAATGCTTATCTCATTGGGAGTTTATCTACATGCAATGACATCTAAAACATGAAATATGGGAAATGTATGCAACCATGAGCATATGTGTGTGTGTTTGCAAAACACAGAGAGAATGAATGAATGTACCTTCAAATATTCAGTCATTCTATTCCATTAAATACTTAGGCTCAGGAATGTAAGTATAATGAAAAACTGCATATCTTTATGACAATAAAGAGAAATGCATTAGAATAGTTAAAAAGGTATAAGGATCACAGCATAATTACCAAAATGAATTACAAAGTTTTTATAAATCATATATTTATAATTTAATGTCTCTTTCAGACATTAGATATTTTCATTTCTTTATAGTGAATTTGCCATGATTCCTCTCTAACAGAAAACTAAGCACTGAGGCTAAAGTAGAACAATTAGGCAAAACAGAGTATCTACATACTAAGGATATGCTCTGTATAACCCAAAAAATTTATTCTAGATTTTATGTGAATTTTTTTCAAGATCTAAAAGATAGTTACAGCACATTTATCATTTTATATTCTAAATAAAGGAAACTATTATGTTTCAGTACATGCCAAAAATTAATTATGTTTTTCCTTGAAAGGATGAGGAAATAACTAAAACACAAGTTTATACATAAATAATTTACTACTAATAATTATTAATATAATTATTCATTAATATGTTTCTGCAAAATAACTGTGGTAAACTGCACATAAACCCACAGGGAACTAATTTAATTGCTTCTAGTAAATTTAATTTATACCCAGAGGTTAGCCTCTAAAATGAGGGAAAAAAATAATGGAATAAATGTAGAAACAGGTGGTTTAATTGCTGCATGTGTGGAAAAAACTAGACAAAAAGGCAGGTATTATTCTTGATGACATTACAGGTAGTTGTGTATTAGAATTATGATCATTAAATCATGGTGATCATTAAATGGGTCATCACCTAACCATATCCAATGTTATAACTTGTTTTGGAGCGATCATTAAGCAAATGCAGTGGTTGTTAAATGAATCCTTAACATTCAAAAGGGCAGGGTTTTTTTTCTCAAGAGACCAGAAGTAAAGGCCAGAAACCAACACAAAAAATACTAAAAATCGTGATTGTGTGCGATAAATGCAAGCTGGTTGTCAAGTACCTTAAATAGTGTCACACAACCATGGGGGGGGGTGCATGTGTGCAGCCACTGTAACTTCAAAATTGAGTCATTAATAATTTTGGGCAAGTTTCTTGTAACTTTGAGCAGTTACGAAGTGACTGGTTGTTAAACAGGGACTAATTGTAGTAATGTGAAGCTGTTGGGACAGGACCAGGTATATATAGTCTGTTTTTTCATAGAAATTAATTATTAAGTAACTGTTAAAAATCTATAAGGAGTTAAACCAGAGGTCTTGAAGTCACAGCTAATATGTATAATTTAAAATTATAGACTTTAAGACACTCTGAAAATATTGAGTAGCAGAAGGTGAACAACACAGAATTGGCACATTTTAGCATGTTGCTTGTATACATGATCTGGGTTTGGAAGATGATCAAATCATGCCCTCTTGCTCTGGAGTGGGCTAGTCCCCACTGCAGGAAACTGGCTCTTATTTAATTGGCCAGTCCCAGAGACTGATGGACTCAGCTGGGTTTCAGAAGGAGCCTGGGGTCTTTCTAGAGCCTGTGAGGCATGGTGCATTCAAGGCCCTGGCTGTGGTTTGGAATAATGCAACTGGGATTTGGGGATAGATTATGACAATGTGGATGTTGTATGTGTATGGAGCCAGAGAGGCTCCTTAATTTATTGAGGTTCCACAGGATATGAAGCAATACAAGGGATGTCTAAAACTAAGGTGTCAAACACATGGTTATATATGGGGCCACAACACTCCTGACTGCAACCGGAACCAAATTAAAATTCAATTGGGAAATATTTAACAAGTAAAATTAAACTTAGATATATTTTAAAACTAAATAATAAATTTATTTTATGTTTATATACATTTATTTTACTATCATAAAAGTAAAATAAAATGTAGATATGTTTTAAATCTAAATAATAAATTTATTTTATGTTTATATACATTTATTTTACTGTCATAAAATGCCAAGCTCATGACTCACAAGCACTCCTGCATAAGTTCAACTTAACTGTAGCAGTAAGGATCTTTTGACAAGATCTCAAATCTGGAATGTGCTTTCTCTGTGGAAGCTTGTTAAAGGCAGGAAAAAGATGGTGCCTCAAATAACTTGAACTTTTACCTTGTAGGATTTTAAAAGTGAGAAGTGGCATTTTGAATTGCACCTGCAAGCCACCTGGGAGTCAGTGCAGCTCACAGAATAGCATTGTAGAGGGCACTGCAAGTTATACCCATAACTGCCCATACTGTTGCGCTCTGGACCAATGGAGCTTCCAGATGGTTTCCAGGGGTAGCCCCACATATAGTATGTTGCAGTAATCCAATCAGGAGATGATCAAGGATGAGCAACCATAAGCATTTTAAATGGATACATCTGTAATGTTTCTTTTATACTTTTTTGTTTCTTTTATGTATATTAGCTGCATCGAGTTCCTATCTTATTTTAATGTGTTGATGAATAAATGAACAAACATATGTGGTTTTCTAAGTCAATATGCAGCCTGCAGAGATCCTTATATATAGTGAAGTGGCCCCCATTTCTATTTCAGTTTCACAGTACTGCTAGAGTAAGATGAAGAGTGGAACTGATCGAACATAGACAAGAGCCTTTATTAGAATTTATCTTGGGGTGATGATTATTTCTTGGCTGTGATAACATCTACAGTTAGCCAACTGGCAATCTTATTTAGGGTAACCAGGTTCCTTCTGAGCAAGGAGGGACAGGGAAGACCTTGCAGGCTGCTGTGAGGAATATTTTTGGCAACTGCTGGATGAAGTTGTTTGGCTTCATTTGGAATTAAATGCTGGCAGGGCAAATCCTTTGGAAGTTATGAGGGCACATCTAAGCTTGGTTATCTGGGAAGAGTTTGAGCTGTTTACTCTCAAGCAAGCTGACAAAATCCTCAGGGCAGTAAGCTTTGCCACATCGTGATTAATACTACATTGCCAGCTATCTTGGTGGTTACACCTAGAAATCAGCAGACTGTGAGTTCTAGCCCTCCCTTACACACGAAAACTGGCTGGGTTTTATTGTTTTGATATAGATAGACAGACAGACGGACGGACGGACAGACAGACAGACAGATAGATAAGCAAGCAAGCAAGCAAGCAATGTATTTATATGTTTATTTATTTATTTAGCTAGCTAGCTAGCTAACTATAAACAAATGCCCGCCTGGAGTGTGACAATCATGTGAATGAGAACACTATATTAACCAAGGAATGCTACCAAAGTAAGTCCAACATTGATTTAAGTAAGTGACTACTTCTCATTAAATAACTGAGTATTGAAACACTTGCTGCAATCTTCTATTTAATACTGTACCTTCATAGATAATATGCATAGTGTGCCATAAGGTTTAGATTTATCAACTTCTATTTACTAGGTGTTTGGCACTGTAGGGATGCCCTTTGATGGGAATGTATCATTTGAAGAAAATGTTTGCAAATAGAGTTAAATCTTCCTAGCAATGTGTTTCATCAATGGAATAGTTTCTGGGGAAGTTGCATGTTTACCTTTTAAATATTTGGGTCTTATACAAGAATCTATTCCTGGCACAATGTATATAAAAAATTGAGGATAGAAACTGCTTCTATTTTTTACATTGTTTTCACACAATTATGCCTCCTAACTGTAATCCTGTTAACACAGTTCTCATTTATTTCAGTGAATGGCCATTTAAAACCAATGGAAGAATTTACACTTAATATAACTGTATTTAAATATCTCGCCGCTGATAATAATGTAGGGACAGAGATTGTTGAATATGTGAAAGGAAAATGATTTATGTGCTTGTTTTAAGTCTGAACTTACTTTGTTTCCTTCTAAGTATCTTGAGTTAACAACTGTCTGAAAATTCACTATTTTACATTCCAAATATACCTTGAATGTGCTAGCGTGGGGAACATCACTTAAAATAAGGAAAATGATGAAAAACTACATTTGTTCATATTCAGTGCTAAGTCACATGATGTTTTGTTTGATTTTGGCACAGAATATTGTTCGCAGCCAGCGATTGTTCTTTATTCAATAAGCAAATAAACAATATTTTACCATAACATTGAGAATAATTACAGTCCTAGAATTCAAAAAGTGGGTTTGTAGTGTTCTTTTGCTATGTATATGCTAAGCATTTGACAATCAGCAAAAATACCTAATTTTTTTTTAAAAAACCATAAAGTTCCACATGTATTTGTTCTTTATCTGTATCTTACATGAATCTTTTATTATTTCTATATCTGAACAATATTTTCCTTCTGTTCTATAAAGACTTTTGTGTAGACTTCATTTTTAATAACTCAAAGAGTTTATGATATTTGGTCCCTTAATAGCACTATATGTTTCATGAAGGACAACTTTAATTTTCCATCAATTGTTATCATTCGCCCCCTCCAACTTCTATTATATGCTTTATTGACCAGGTGTGATTGGACACACACAAAGGAATTTGTCTCCGGTGCATCAGCTCTCAGTATATATATAAACAAGTGATAAATTATAAATCATAGATTCAACCATAAATCATAAGATACAATCAACAAAGTAATAGTCATAAGATACCAGTAGGATCAGGTAATAGAAAGATGAGAAGGATGATAGTAATGCAGCCCTACTACATGGTTAGATATCCTTAGGCATAAGACAGTGCTGTGGGAATTAGGTGTTTGGCAGAGTGATGGCATGGGGGAAAAAACTGTCCTTGTGTCTAGTTGTTTTGGCATGCATCCTGAGGGGAGGAGTTGACATAGTTTATGTCCAGGATGTAGATATTTTTTCAATCCTCTTTCTCACCAGAGCAGTATAAAGATCCTCAATGGAAGGCAGTCTGGCTGCAATTATTTTTTTCTTCAGTCCTAACTATCCATTGAAATCTATATCTATTTTTTTAGTGTTGGTTCCTACTTTAAAGCCATTCCTGACGAGGGTGAGTCCACGTTATCTGAAGAACAGTCTTACCCAAATAGGATTGACTCATCACACATGTGCCAGCAGAATGAGTAAGCTACAGACCCTGTCAATCAAGGAATTGCGGCTGGCGGAATCCAAGAGAAGAACTTTTTCTGTTGTGGCTCCCATCTTATACCGCCCCCCCAGGTGAGATCTTGACCCACCTTTTGTTCTTCTGAAAGGGTGTGAAGTCCTGGCTATGCTAATTGGATTGAGATAAGACCCCACTTTCTCCCCATGTGCATCTTGCTCCCTGATTTGCTATTTTGTTATTCTTAAGTCAGTTTTTAGTATTAACCTTTATTATTTTAATGTTTTATCTTGTTACTAGAATTACTTCTACGCAAGATAGATGGCATATAAGTTTAACAAACAAACAAATAAACAAACAAATAAACAAGCAAAACAGTTTATTTTAAAAGGTTTGTAAAGTATTCCTCCAAATGTACACTTACATTATCAATCACAGAAATATTGAAATGGGACCTAAAACAGAATATTACTGTATGCATTGCTCCTGTCTACTTGGTTAATGATGCTATTCTCCATAAAATGACATTTTCATCCACCATCTGCCAACTTTTTGCCTTTTCTTGTAACAGTTATTTTGTATTCTTTGGCCAATAACATACTCAATCTCATCCAAGTATTCTGAGGTGTCTACTCCTACCGAAAAAATAATTTAAACAATTTTACTATATTTCTATAAAATGTGAAGTTCCATTCAATTTATAGCTCCCCTCGTTTATATGAGTGATGACACGCATAATATTTGCATGCAATGATTAAACAATAAGAATATAGCTAGCATCTGTAGTAAATTGTTACTGTGAATTCACACTTCCAAAGGAAGTGCTCTTATTCATGGTTCATATTTTCTGCATCTCCAGATTATTATTGCTCTAAAGCAGTGTTTCCCAAACTTTTGACATATGTGTACCCCTTCTATAATTTCTGTAACGCTGAGTACCCCTCATAAAAAACATATGCTTCAATAAAAATCAAAATATATTTATTTTTTCTTTTTTTTGTACATACACAAAATAAACGAAAGTTATATTATAAAGAACATTTATTTGATTCAATGAGAAGGATGAAATTGTTTATGTTGAGATGACAGATCATCATAATTTGGTTCCTTGGTTGTTAATTTTAATCTGAGATGCGATTCCACACCCAATAGTCTGTTCCTTTTTTTTCGACTTAATGTCTACAAATGCAGAAAAAGCAACTTCGCATAAATATGAAGTTGGAAAAGGCAAGATGTATTTCAGGACTTTTTCTGTTAAAACCGGATACACATGTTGCATTTGTAACCAGAATGATGTTAAAGTACACTCCTTATGTTTATTTCTCAAGAATCCGTCCGAAGCTAACTCCAACAATTGCTCTTCTTCCACATGCGACAAACCTTCTGGAATGGATGTTGTGTTAATGTTGAACAGATATCTTATCCATTCAATATTTTCATTTAAATCAGGGAAATAATTTTTCAAGCCAACTTGCAAACTCTCCAAATTCTGTATTATGCATTTCAAAGTATCAGCCTCAATTTTAGTAGCCGAACTTGTTATAAACTCATGAAGAGAGGGAAACGAGTCTACTTCTCCATTACCAACTCTCTTTTGCCATAAATTTAGTTTTGCGATGGTAGCGTTCACTTTATCTTGAACGTGAAACAATGAAATTTCTTTGCCTTGTAACGATAAGTTGAGGCAATTTAAAACAGAGAATATATCTGCTAAGGATGCTAGTTTACAAAGCCATTTCCAGTCATGTAAACAATTTCTCAACTCAAATCTATCATTAAGAAAGCATTGAAGTTCATGTCTAAGTTCGAACAATCGGTTTAGAATTTTTCCCCGATATAGCCAACGAACATCGGTATGAAAAAGCAGCTGGGTATGACTACTTCCCATTTCTTCACATATTTGCGAAAAAAGTCGTGCATTCAAAGGGTGGCTTTCAATGTAGTTAATGATTTTCACGCTTTCATCCAGAACTTTCTGTAGATCAGCGGGCATCTTACATGTTGCCAAAGCCTCTCTGTGTATGCAACAATGTGTGGATATGACATTTGGAGCAACATTTTGAATTCTTGCAACGAGTCCTTTATTAATTCCGACCATACTTTTTGCTCCATCTGTGCTTATTCCAACACATCTATGCCAATCAATTTTGTTCTCTTGCATAAATGTATTCATAACATTAAAGATATCTTCTCCTGTTGTGTGACCTAATAAAGGCTGGCAAAATAAAAAGTCGTCATGAATTTCTTGATTTTTTTCGTATCTAACAAACGCCATAAGATTTGCAAAATTTGCAATGTCGGTGGACTCATCGGCTTGCAATGCATAATAACGACCTTGAGAAATATCAGATAATAACATCTGTTTTACATTATTAGACTTATCAATGATTCGTCGATGAACTGTATTATTTGAGAGAGGAATGCGGTCAAAAGTTTGTTTCGCTCTATCTCCTATCATTACTTCTGCCATTATCTTGGCTGCAGGCTTGATTAAAATTTCGCCAATGGTTTCCGCTGCACTACATTTGGCAATTAAAAGTGACACGCGATACGAAGCTTCTAGTATTTTTTGATTGTCACCTCCCGTCAAACCCTGCATTACTTTTCGAGACTGATTTAAACCCTTAAGTTTATTTTCAAAAAAATCTATGGGTTTATCTTTGTACTGATTATGGTTTGTCTCAAAATGGCACTTTAAGTTGGATGGTTTCATGCTTTCATTTGTTAGATTTTCAAAACAAATGACACAAAGTGGAATAGGCTCATTTTCATCTCCAGTCCATGAGAATCCAAATTTAAGATATTCTTTGTCGTACTTGCGAGTTTTCCTTGCTTTTTTCTTAACAGGTTCTTTCAGAATTGAAATTGATTCGTCGTTAATTTCATTATTTCCTGTTCGTTGATTGCTATTACAATCATTACTTTCTTTCGGTTTAGTAGTTCCAGATTTCAACCAGCGATCCATAATCTCTGTTAGGAATAAAAACTGCATTTTATAAAAATAATCAAAATCAGTGGAACTTACTAAAGCATGATAATAGATGCCCGGAACTAACTATTAAAGAAGTAAGTTGTCTCTATAACGAAGTGCAGTATATTCACGCCGTGTCACACCTCACAAGACTGTCTAACTGTTGATAACACTGCAATTCTCCGGCTTTTAAACAGCTCTGAGGCTCAACGTTAACTGTTAATGTTCCCGCAGTTTAAAAATGGCCGAACCAGAGCTGTGTGAAGGATGCGCAGAAGTTCCCGTCATAATGAGTTGCGATACGATGTATGATGGCCCCAGTTCCCGTGTAAAAACTGCGATACGCACCTATTTCTTTCTTTGTTCTGTGGGCGCAGCTAAGCACGGTGCAGTGGATATTCCCACGTGATCCCCACTAAACTCCGGTGCAACACGTACCCCCACCAAACTCTTCCCTTACCCCTGGGGGTACGCGTACCACACTTTGGGAAACACTGCTCTAAAGCAACCTTTTGCATCCTGACACCATCCATAACTATCTGGAGGGCATCATTAGAGAAGGGTACTTTAAGGTTATGAAGTAGCAACAGGGTATGTAGGGAGGCAAAATAGTCAAATCAATTGTGAAGGCCTGAATAATGAATTGAATAGGAGCATGGGAAATGTGGTAGGTTGAGGGAAGTTGGTCTCTACCATTGATTTATATTTATGTATATCTTAGTTCTTGAAATATGTCCTTCTCTTTTTTGAGAGAAGTTTAAGTTATCTAAGCAATGATACTTTACCTCTAAAGATGAAATAATTAGATATTGCACAAATTGTTTGAAACCTCATAGTCTGGAGGAACAAGGTAAGAGGTTGTACGGGCTTCCATTAAAGCTAAATGTTAAAGAGTAAAAAGTATATCATATGCCACTCTCTCACCCTCATTCTTTTTTTATTGACAACTTTTGTCTATCTTGAGAAGATGATAACTAACTATTGACGTTGTTCTTTCTAGTTGGAAGAAGCAGCTGTTGAAATGCACTCTCTGAACTTCCTTTTCCAACAAATCTATTTCAGATTCAGCCCACATACTAGGTCCAGTTCTTTCTACTTTCTGGTGTGCATTTCCTAAAGCTTTTGCATGTATTTAGCATTTTCATTTATCTAACAAGTTTCCTAGTAACTGATCTTTTGGGTGCTCCCGAATGTCAACCATCCCCATGAATAGAGTTGCAATCTGCTGTTGGATATTGCTATGATTGACATTTTGATAACAATCCACCATATTATTCTTCTTAGCTCACTTTGCTTTAAAAACTCAGTTAAATATTTAAAGAGAAAGTCAACCATATAACATCTCACCCTGCTTGCTCCTTACATTTTTCAGAAGAAATTATCTGAATATTGATGGAACTAAAAAGAAAAACAAAGTTATTAAAATTACCTCCATGCCTGCTAAGCTTTGCAACATATACAGAATAATTAAGCTAAATAAACTTTAGTGGTAACAAAATCTAATGAAATGTTCAAGGAAAGGTTTTCTTACTGCAAAGTTGCCTTTTCTAGCTTTTTAAATAGCCCATATAACCCAAACATTAAATCAAAAGTCTATCAACTAATAGCAGGAAATATTTGGTAGATCTTTTTTTTCTTCCATTCAATTGTGTCTAATTCTTGGAAATTGCTTTGTCAAATCCCTGCAATTTCTTGAAAAGGTTTTTCAGAAATGGCTTGCCATTGCCTCTTTCCTAGGGCTGAGGGAAAGTGACTGGCCCAAAGTCCCCAGCTGGTTTAGTACACTAGAACTTTTGGTCTTCCTGGTTTCTATCCTGATGCCTTAACCACTGCATCAAACAGGCACTCAATGCTAGATTTTAGAGAGGCACATTTTAATCTCTCTGTTGTATTCCACCAACTAGCAGCTTCTCACATTTATTTCAGTATGAAATAAAATCAAAATAGATTCTAGACTAGAAACAAAGCTGCTTTAATAATGGTAGTGGATAATCTTTTATAGAAAGATAGGAAGATTCTGGCAATACTAGTTTTCCTTGATCATTTACAATACTTGATATAATTCAGAAAATCATACTTTTTAAAAAATAAAGCAAAAAATTGGGAACATCTGAAGTTGTTCTGTGATTTGTGCTTCTATTCTAGAAGATGATATTAGACAATTTCTGTTTTAGCTTCTTGGAAGTAATGCTAAAGGGTTCTAAAGTGATGGATTATAGTCCTCAGGCTGTCAGGCAATCACTGGAAATCAGTATCAAGGAATCCGTAGAATGAATTTTGCAAGAAAAATGACATCATCACTCAAAATTTTCCCTTTTAATTTGATTATGATTTTGTCATATTATTTTATACATTGGACCAGCTGAAACTCAACTCAAATATAAGAGATTGCTTACTGAAGAATACTGTTGTGTGATTTAACAGCTATACATGAGAATTACACATTTCTCAAAAGTCATGCATGCAGAGAAGCTGTTCAAAGAATCAATTTGATTCTACTCCTGATTCCAAGCAGTAGCTATGACAAGGAAATATTTTACCATATTAGTTTTGATAATATGCACATTTTACCCATTCTAATATTATATCCTTGTATATACTGCCACAACGTCTAAAATGTAGTAAATATTAACTTATCATGTAGTAAATATTAACTTATTGGCTCAGATAATTCAACCATCCCAGTATGTAACTGTGATGGAGATGATCCAGGATTCTTTTCCATATTTTTTTCAGTTTCACCTTGGTCAGTGGTATCTGGAGGTAAGAAATATTTTAAAATATATATTTTTATACGTGACATGGCCATTTCCACCTAAATTTCACTATGCAGAATATCTTTGGAATATTTATTAGCCTGCTATAGTTTCTGACATTCTTAGAGATGGAAGATGAGAAAGGAGAGATTCAGGGAGAGGAGACTATAAAAAGGGGAATTGCCCAAAGATACTATGAAAAACTGTATTATAGAAATGAGGGGGAAAATGTAGAAAGGATAATAGAATACTTAGAGAAGGCAGACATACCGAAAATTCCGGAGGAAATAAAATCTATGTTAAATGAGGAAATAAGAATGGCTGAAATAATCAGGGCAATAAATAAACGAAAGATCAATAAGGCGACTGGCCCAGATGAAATACCAGCAGAACTATATAAAGAACAATAAAGGGCACTCAATCAATACCTACTACAAGTTTTCAATGCCGTATTAACCAATGCTAAAATACCTAAGTCCTGGTCAGAGGCAAATATAATATTGATTCCAAAAGAAGAAGCGGAAAAAACACAGATACAAAATTATAGACCTATATCATTATTGAATTCTGATTATAAAATTTTTGCTTCAACAATGGCGGAAAGATTCAAGAAAATACCTAATTGATTTCACACATTTGGATCAAAATGGATTTTTACCAAACAGACAGACTAAGTGGAATATAAGAACAATCTTAGACATTCTCGAATTTTATGAATCGCATAGTGATCGTCAAGTGGCACTTCTGTTCCTTGATGCACAGAAGGCTTTTGACAATGTCAATTGGCAATTTATGATCCAACAACTAACATTAATGGATGTTGGGGAAATTTTTTTAAATGTGATAACTGCAACAAAAGGCCCAGATCATAATAAATGGAGAGGCCACTGATAAATTCAACATACAGAAAGGCACAAGACAAGGACGTCCTCTCTCGCCATTTTATTTATATATACATTAGAAATTCTTGCCAGAGTAGTAAGACAAGAAGAGCAGATTAAAGGGTTTAAGATTAAGAAAGAAACATACAAACTTCAAGCTTATGCATATGACTTAGCATTTATATTAGAAGACCCAGAACAATCAGGGCAGAAATTTTTCGAAATATTGGAAGAGTATGGGGATCTGGCAGGTTTGAAAATAAATAGAAACAAAACAAAGATTATTACAAAAAACATGACTAACATACAAAAACGAAATCTCGTAGCAAAATTAGGTATACAAGTAGTTTCCAAATTAAAATATCTAGGGATAGTTATTTCTGCATGCTGCTCATCAATTAAAGAAGACAATTATGGCAAATTGGTAAAGAATATAAAAGTAGATTTAGACAGTTGGAAAAATTTACATCTCTCATTACTTGGGAGAATTGCTGCAATGAAAATGAACATCTTACCTAAAATGATTTTCCTGTTTCAGAATATCCCAATTCAATTAGACAAGAAATTTTTCAAGGAGCTAAATAAATTAACCTTAGAATTTGTGTGGTCTGGTAAGAAGGCAAGAATAAAATTAAAGGCATTATAGGATGCCAAAGAGAGGGGAGGTTTAGATTTCCCAGATTGGGAGCTACATTACCAGGATTAGAGACTGGATAACCTTAGAAGATAAAAGATGTTTACTTTTAGAGGGTTATGACCTCCAGCAGTGTTGGCATGCTCACATATGGATGGGGCAAAGCAAAACCACCAATATTTTTTAAGACATAAGGTTCGGCAAGAATTAATAAAAAGCTTGGAATATAGTTAAACATCAATATTACACAAAGATTCCGGCTTGGCTATTGCCATTGGAGGGAGTCACATATCCCAATCTGTATAGGAAAGACAAAACTATTATATATAAAGACATCCTGACAGAAGAAGGTTATTTAATACAAAAACAAGAGCTAAAACAACAAGGAATAGACATGGAGTGGTGATCTTATCTCCAGATACAAGCAAGATACATGAAGATAAGCAAGAATGGGGTATTAACAGACAGGATACGAGATTAGATAAAATACTGCTAGGCCCAGAGAAAAAAAAATAAAGAATATTTATAAACATCTGTTGGAATATAAGCTATATGAGGAGCAGGTTAAAGAAACAATGGTGACTTGGGCAATAGATCTAGGATATAATATAAATATGGATCAAAGGCAGCAAGTATGGGAGCGAAATAACAAAATCACATTGGCAACATCATATAAAGAAAACCTGTATAAGATGGTTTACAGATGGCATCTCCCTCTGGCCCGATTAGCCAAAATGTATAACGGATATTCATCTATGTGTTGGAAATGTAAAAAAGGAAAGGGCACCTTTTTTCATGTATGGTGGACATGTAGAGAAGCACAGGTGTACTGGCGTATGGTCTGGGAATGAGCAATAGAAATGACTAGGCAAAACATTCAATACAAACCTGAGACATTACTATTAAGAATACTACAGAAAAATGTAAATAAAGAAGACACATATTTAATTATTCACGTGGTTACGGCAGCAAGGATACTATTTGCTCAAAAGTGGAAAGCAATGGAAGTACCGAGTGGGGAAGCACTAATAAATAAAATTATATATTGTGCAGAACTAGATAGGATAACTAAAAGATTAAAAAATCAGGAAGAAACAGAATTTTATTGAATATGGAATAAATTTTAAAGATGGAGGGAAAACAGTGGAGGTCACAGTAAAGAGATAAGTTAAGATAGAGACCAGAAATGTATAGTTGTATATAGATATATTATATGTAATTAATGTACAATATGGACTGAGATGTCAGTCAAAGACAATTTATCATGTTCAATGTTTTTAATCCTTTTTTTCCTTGTACTCAATAAAATCTTTAAAAATAATAATAATAATAAAAAAAAAATTAGAATTTGTGGAAGAATTGCCAGAGGGATTATAGGAGTCACACAATCTGCCTTTTTAATTATTAAAGCCTTATCCTGTCTCAGGTAACTGAATCAATAAACTGCAATTGATTACAAAAATGGTTATTTTTTGTTTTAATATAGGATTGTGCCTTCACATAATTTTTATTCTAATGCAGTTTTATTGCTTTTAATCAGGCACTTCAACATCCATTCATCAAAAAAGAAAAACAAACAAAAATTAAAGATACATTAATTATTTAAAAGGATGCATTTGTTAGTATTATGCTGTGCCTAAACTATATTCTTCCTTTCCCTACCTTCCACATCATACCAAAACAACATTATTTGTAATTAATCTGGTACAATATTTGATTTCCAAATATTATCCATTTTCCATGTTTGCAGACAAAGCAAATTCTTTATAATTATCATACTACAGGCTATAATATGCACTTTGTGCAAATATGTATACAGGGATATCACACCATACACTTCATGAAAACTAGAATACATGAAAATATATGAGAAAGCTGATATTAGTTTGGGAATGGAAACCAGATGCTAGAAATCTGTGGATGGACTTTTTTGACCTTGGGCATATAACTGGACCCTATAGCCCTTAGAACCTTTGCAACTGCATATATGATTCCACAAAATAACTTCATTTCAGTACCAATCACTTATATCTATGCAAGAGAATGGAGAAAGACAAAGTACAAAGAAAAGTTTGAATAAGATAGAAATAAACCTGAAATATTTTGTTTTTTCTTGTTGAGGTTCCTACAGTATTTAGATTACAGCTACTTCAAGTGAAGAAACAAAAATGGTAGATGTATTCTGTCTAATAAATGTATCAAACATCACTGACAACAGCACCATTCATTGTGATAATCTTGTTTCACTTAAAACAAAAGCTCTGGAACGTTTTTCCTTCTCTCTTCCTTTTATTCAACTATAATAAGAACTATGGTTTGGGAAATTTCAGGCATATATTGTGATTTGGAAAATGAAATTCTGGTGTTATAAACTTACTGACATTTACATCAACAAGAATTGATTGTAGCAAAAAAACCCATATGTCATGTACTGTTAATTTAGCTTGAATATGAATATGGATCACTATGATGCCAACTGCTTAAAGAGAATATGACTGACCACAATTAATAATTGAACTTTCAATGGCAACTCAAGACAGACTATATCATTTAACCTGCTGAAAATTTGAAGGTATTTTTCATAAATGTTGCTAATTTGAATGTAATGCTTTTTTTTTAAAGTTTTAAACAATATATTTTCTAGGAAGATGGCAACGCACAATCTGTGTTTAGATTTACATTATAATGACAATGACATTCTTAAATAGTCAATATTAAATTAGGAAATAGTGAGGCAATGGCTTTGATTCCAATTTCTTCTACAACTGAAGGAAAAATATGTGCTTCTTGTAATATACTGACCAGAGATGGCTTTGGGAAATTCCATATTATTCAAATGGTATATGGCATACCAAACAATATGTTCTACTGATGTGTAAATAGGGCATGATGCTTTGAGCATATGATTATGTCTATTCAGAAAATAGCATTTCTTCTACTAAAGAAATTAAATGATCATGTAATTATTGATCTAAAAGTAAAACAGTCATATGAAAATAGTATAAATCAGCTTCTTAGATCTGCAGATATACACTTCTTTCCAAGACGCATGGTCTGTAACAGACTTGTGAGCTTCTGGGGTTATTATCATTTGGGGATAATTGTAAATAGAAGAAAAAAGAAAACATAATAGTACATAGAAAAAAGTCACAAACAGGTCTCAATCATTTAATCCCAACAGAGGAAAATAGGAGAATGCCATCTGCTATTTCTATCAATAGCAGTTGATTCATGAGTCCTGACTTAAATACAAATTCAAATTAAAGATAAATTTAGGAAATAAACTTTCCTAATCAAACATTTCTATTCCTAATGAAATAAGTCAGGAATTGTTTATATATCAATTACTTAAATTGAGAAAGTGATGGTAATGATCAGAATTATATATTCCCCAAAAGCTTGCCTTGTTGAAGTCTTCAGAAGTTGCTCTCATTTCCTTCCATGTCTTGTTCAACAACTGAATGCAAATACAGAAGAACTCTTCAAATGATCTGTCATGTGTGAAGAACATTGGGTGGAAATCACTGCCAGTCTCACTTGCTAAAGATAAATAAAGAAAGAAAAGGATAAATACACTTTTTGTTCTAAATGATGAGCATCAGAATCTGTTAATTTTTTTCAAGATTACCTCCTTGCCCTTCATCCAAGTGGTATTATTTATTAAATGCCCCTTATGTTCCATTAAATATGTTAAACTATACAGATTTTTAAAAATCCAGAAAAAGTAATGGCAAAGCACTTTTATATAATTATCAATATATTATATATATTATATACACATCTATAAAGTCACCAGAAACTGAAATTTTATCAGTTTTTATTACTTGACAAGTAATACGGTATTGACAGAGTGCAATATAGACTGAAGAATATCTAATACAGATAGTCCTTGCTCAACAACTGGTCAAAGTTATGACAGACCCCTGGCTTCCAGTATGCGATCGCGGCATTGGCGGACATGTGGAAGGAGCGTTGTCTCTGCTGTCTGGTTTTCCTTTGTCGGGCAATCCTGAAAAGTTGCCCTGGAGGGGTGACGACTGCGAGGAGGACCCTCGACAGATCGTGGAAGCTCAGCAGCCCTTCCGTTTGATCTGAGGCAGTTCCTTTGGACTGACGGAGAAAAGATTGGCCATCAATATGGCCGATCACTAAGCCATACCAGCCAAAAGCCAAAATCACCACCAAGCAAAACGAAAGCACCGTGGAGGAATTGGATGAGACCTTACCTTACCTTTCTTGTATCCCAACTACCTTCCTGTAAAAGCCTCTTGAAATTTCTCCTCCCCCCTTTAACATCGCTGCCTACT